GTGTGCGCTCCTGCAGGTGTGTATACTCACAGGTGTGCGCTCCTGCAGGTGTGAACTCTCACAGGTGTGCGCTCCTGCAGGTGTGTATACTCACAAGTAAGCACTTACTGAGATCTTGGTGAAGATGTAGAGCAGCAGCGACAGAACAGACAGGTAGATCCGGATGCGCTGACCCCCGAACCTCTTCTTCAGGTACTCCGGCATCGTCACCACCTGGCCCAGGGTGCAAACACAGGTGACAGAGGTGAGTCTGAGAGCATTACCTGCCAGCAGCTTCCTTTTCCTCCCTGCCATGTGACACACACACGGAGGAAATCCCTGTTCTCCCCGGGATTCAGGTGTGAAAGGCTACTGGCTGCTCCTGTTTCTGGGAGACGCTGCAGGCGCCTCGCCCATCGCCCAGCCTCAGCGGCGTGGAGACTGGCCACAGGTCTCGGTTTGATCGCCGCTGCCGATCGTCTTCCCCGCTAGGTGGCGCCACTCACCCCGGCCTTGATGTAGATGGGCACGAAGAGCCAGCCCAGGATGACCACGACCACCAGCGCCTGAGGAACATACAACGTGTCAGCCACGCGCCCAGCACAGCGCCGCAACACACCAGCTGCCTGCGTGCCTGAGCGTCTGAGTCAGGCCCTGCCGGGCGAGCCGCGGTACTCACGTTCCACTCGAAGCCCCCGATGGCGATGCCAGCCGCGGCCCCCGTCCCTGCCAGCCCCACGAAGTGCCCGCTGCCGATATTGCTGGCAAACAGGGAGGCGCCGATCTGGAAAGAGACAGGAGCGGCTTCAGATGACAGGTCCAGCCTCGCGGCGCGGCGCACTCCCCCCCGGCGGACAGTAGGGGCGTCCTTCTCTGATTACAGCACCCCCCGGCGGACAGTAGGGGCGTCCTCCTCCGATCACAGCACCCCCCCCCGCGCACTCCCCCTGGCGGACAGTAGGGGCGTCCTTCTCTGATCACAGCACCCCCCGGCGGACAGTAGGGGCGTCCTCCTCTGATCACAGCACCCCCCTCCAAGCACTCCCCCCTGGTGGCCAGCAGGGGTGTCCTGCTCCGATCACAGCACCGCCCCCGCGCAATCCCCCCTGGGCAGACAACTGCCCTGGTGGACAGT